CTTGTTGACGGATACAACTTGCCAATGATAGTCCAGCCGAAAGGAGGGTCGGGCGCCTGCGGTTCAACCGGGTGCATAACTGATTTGAACCGGATGTGCCCGAATGAGTTGCGGGCCGGTGACGGGCATGCATGCAAGAGTGCATGTGAAGCGTTTGGGAATCCAGAATACTGTTGCAGCGGCGCGTATGGTTCACCCACTACCTGTCGGCCATCAACTTATTCTGAGATTTTCAAAACTGCATGTCCGAGATCGTATAGCTATGCATACGATGATGCTACGGGTACATTTATGTGTAGTGGGGCAAATTATGAAATCACGTTCTGTCCCTCACGTACGAGGTAAACTAAATCAAAAGATATTTTTTCATATGTAAGTTAAGATTTGCTTTCGAAAAAAGGAAAAAAAATGCTAAATTTGTTAGTAAAAAAAGAATAATTTTGAAATGTTATTAGACAAAATAAGTAACTTAAAAATTTTGTGTTCATTTTCATAATCTTTTGATCATCTTTCTTTGGTCGAGACAATAATTTCATGTTAGTAATCATTTTGTTGATATCAATCACATTATGTCTCTGTTTCATTCAGATAAAAATCATATTTTTAATAGATTTTGATAGAAATAAATGAAATGTGTGCTTAACAAGCTGTGGTACCCAATAAATTTTGAACAACTAATCATACATGGCTAAATTTGGAACTTCATAGAGCAAAGGGTTGTTCATTTGTCCTACTAGTAAAGCATAGGAAACAAAAAGGAATTGATTTCGTCCTTGCCTCGTAGTTTCACTCTTACTTTCTCCTTCTATTATATTTGTAAATGGCGAATAGCAAAATTGACATTAGGTTGCTATCATACATAAATGATGTACTTTTTTGAAACTTTTCCTGCAGTCTAAAATCTTCAAGAGACCCTTCCTCGCCGGAAACCGCCACCGGAACAACCATCGGCAGCAACCTCTCATCATGGCTGCCAAATTTTGTCACAGGAGATTCTTCAAGAACCATGCCAAATTTTGCCTTGCATTTTACTCTTTTTGTAACCTTTTTCATACTCCTTTTTCTTTACATATAATTCACAAACACTTTACACTTCACATTCACGTCATAGTCACATTGCTAGCAAGGCCAATGTAAATACATATTGTAAAGCACAATTTTCCAAGACGTTTGTATAGAAACCTAAATTATTTCAAATTTTGTTTTGCTTTGCAATGAATTTGTCCATTATGATTGGTGGGTGCTCCTTAACAAAGATTGTCAATTGTATGATCTTTGCTACAAAATATATATTATGGGATCATATTGTCTTACATGTGGACCCTCTATTGTTTAGATAATAATATATATTCGAGGCTCGAAAAATACTTCATGTTAAATTGATCCACACGCGTCTTTCTTAATGTGTTAACGGGATTATGTCATTCTCATGAACAAGAGTTTATTTAATTTTATGTAATATATATTCAAACTATTTTAATTAATTTTCTTTTGATTTATGCTCAATGTGTTAATGTAAAATCTTGACTCACTATTGTTGATATTAGTGAAAATGATTTATCAAAGTACTAGTAAGTACAAATGAATGCAGGAATGGCAATATTCATTATTCTTGGTAAGAAAGACATGTTGGAAAGTTTCTGATTGTTTCATTATTGTTGGAAATTACGAGAGGCAGAATCTGAAAATTCATACAAATATAAATTAAACAGTAACGCATGAAATGGAGAATATAGGAATCAAAATGAAACCACAAAGGAGAGAATAAATTTGGAAATTAAAGACCGATCATGTTATAAACACTGTCATAAAGTAATATTTGTACCCTCTCGACTTTGAGATTACTTATAGGATACACTAACAAATAGCTCAGAGGATCAACAAGAATTGAAGCGGAAGCATATCTAAAAATTTACGGCACAGAGACGAATTTTGTAGCCCTTTACACGACTAAGAACGTGACGCACATGCATGATCGTTTCTATTTGCCCAAACAAACATTAGCTACCAGATTTGGTAACCCCACAAAGATTATCATTACTTGTAATAATGTTTATTTTTTGGTTAAACCAAAGAGGATTTGACATTTATCAATTAATTATTGTAAAGAAGAAGAAAAGGAATCTTCGAATTATATATTTTTCCACTTAAAAGTTAAAAGTAGAGGTCAAAAAAGGCAGAAGACATTGGCAAAATTATTGTTCATTTGTGCCCGTGTGTATTCCCTTGGGAACTTTTTACTTTCATGAGCAGTTGTTATTACTTATTATCCATTTTGCATTTATAGAATGGAAATGGCATATGCTACTCAATGCAAGTGTGTTGTCGAGGATAAAATCTTATGTCGCTTAAGTATGAAAATAATAATCAACACACAAGGGTTTTAAGATTAAACTTTAAGATTCAATAAGGAACTCAACTGAATAATTCATTGATGCACTACATCCATATGCAACACGTGTATACTATTTTTATCGGTAGTTGGGTCAAGTTTTGTGTGATGCTAGTTTTCAAATATTCAGAGAGATAAGAGTGGGCGTTGTTTCTTGGACGTCAGAAGTGAAATATACAACATCAACACTATTCCATGTCTCGAGAGTTTGCAAATCTTGACATTTTGAATCTTCATCAATGATTGTGGCTTTGAGGCTCAAATTTGACTATAATTATCATATTTAGCCCATGTTTGTGAAGGATTAAAATTCATATTTTAATTTAAGTTAAAGTCAATAATCAATTTTTAACCACACATTTCATGTGATCCACAACTTTTTTTAACCATATATTTTATCAAATATTTATCAAAATTTACTTAAAATCTGATTTTAATTTCTATCAAACAATACCTTAATTTACCAATGGAAAATTTATCCTCACAAAAAGCTCCTAGATTTCACTTGTTTGTCAAACTTTTGTGCTATGTACCTAAGCAAACCCTACTTTTAACCTCACCATGCACTCAACAATTCCCTTTTTCCTTGCATTTCATGATCTGATCAATAAGCCTTTTTTAAAAGATTGCATCATTTATATCATGACAATAATCTGTTAAATTCCACATCAGTTGTCTCTGCATTTCTTGAAATCTTATCTTAACTAAAAAGACAAGACTCAATTCTTTGTCTGCAAGCTTGTAATGGACTCAGCAGATTAATCTTTTGCTGCTCAAGTCAACTACTTTTAACAGGGAAGATGAGTATGATAACCACTTCCCACTTCATCTTATATTGTTTCATGCCAATCCATTCTTAAGGCCAACATAATTTATAAGTAAATTATTGGGCTCCATTTTTTTTTT